CCATCCAGCAGGAGCTTATTTTGCCCGCCGCGGGCGGCAGTGGGGAGTGCGGCCCTCAAAACCCAGCGCTATCGGGCTGCGCAGCCTGGCTCACCGCAGGCTCAGGGCTTGCATTCTATGATCAAATGGCGTGGAAGTGCGCTGGAGGGGGCTGCAAGGCCGAGGGGGCGGCCCCCGAGGGAGGGCTGCCAAACGATGACTGGCACGGGTGTAAAAGACGAGACGCACAGCGAAAGAACGGCACACACAGGGACCGTGCAGTCGAAAACGGAAGCGCAAAGCATCGCAGGGTCGCTGGCCTTGGGAGGGGCGGGGCTGCGGGACAGAATTGGCGGGACAGTCGACGGGCCGCTGGGGAGCCCCCATCTGATGTTCCTTGGCACATTGGCTTCCGGGGCTATGTTTTACGCCGGTTGGCACTCCTTGAGGTTGCAATGGCAAGGGTTGTTGACGGATTTCTCTTTCCCGTGCCTCTTCCCTTCGCTTGCATCCAAAATCGATGAACATGCAAGTTCATGTCGGGTTTTACCGGCGCTGTGTAGGGGCTGGCGGCGGTGGGACAGGTTGCTGTGGTTGGCGCCGGCTCCCCATCGGCAGTGCACAGGTGTATGTATTCATTCGGCAATCCAGGAGCCGTGAGAGCCCCAGTGATTTGCAGCACCGGAAGGTAGGGCGACCTTGGATGCATCCTTGGCACTGGGCGACTCCGCTCGATGCCCGCTCTTGTTCGCACAGCGGGTGCGTCTTCAAGTTGACACGCCAGGCGCAAGGATGCTGGGTTGATATGCGGCGTCCCTGCCAATGCTGTTAATGTGTCAAAGAGTTGGATTGAAAAACCAGGCAGTCATATGCGGTGCAATGCTGCAGTTGCAACTTCCAAGACACCGAGGCAGCAGCGACGGCGGCGCTCAAGCGGGGAGGAAAGCGCGTCGCATGTCAAATCCCCGGGTCACTTCTCCTCCTGCGCCCTGGTTTCGTCCTTGTGTGAATCACCAGGTCGCTTGGACCGCCCCACGCTTGCTCACCCCACCCCCTCCGAGGCTATCGATCGGCCAACATTGCTGATCAGGCCGCCGCCCGGCACCTAAAGAGGCCAGCCTCCCAAGAATGGTCGTGCTGACCCGCCATACCGCGCTGGGAGTCGCTTCCTACTTACTGGCGCTGCTGCAGGTGCGTCGAGTCCAGTGCTGCTCCCCACCTGCTGAGCAGCTCTGGCAGGTCACAGGTTGGGCCGCACCGCACCTCGGCTGGGCCAGAGCCAGCCCACGCGCCCAGAGGCACACGCGCCACCGGCCGCCGCGGGTCACAGCCGCCACCCAGCCGCCGCGCCCGCCGCCGCAGCCCTGGCGCCCGCCCACCCCAACTCCAGCCTGCACCCCCTGCCCCGCAGCTGTCTGTGGCGGTCGCCATCGCCATCACCGTGCGCCAGGCGCTGTGGAGCTACACGGGCGGGTGGCGCTGGTCGCCCACGTGGTGGGGGCGCACCTCAGCCGAGAATGTGTGCCTCATGTCGACCACGAGGTGGGGAGGCGGCCAGCCAGCTGTGACGCACGCTGGGGGAAGGCAGGGCCTTGTTGCCTGACGGCAGCCTGGTGGCTTGGGAGCAGGGCACAGGGCGTGAGTGCATGCCGAACCGGTGTGGGCGCCGCCGGCACATGGACCAGCCCAGTGGCGGCCGCTGCCTGCCCCGGCGCCCCACTCCCCACGCGCCCCACTCTGCGCGCCGCCGCCCGTGCCGTCGCCGCCTGCCGCAGTGCCAATTTGTGCGCCTTCACGTATGTAGTGATTGCGGTCAGCCTGGCGGCATCGGTGACCCTCTTCGTCACGCAGGTGCGCGGTCTGCCTGCTGCCTGCCCCCTGCCTGCCCGCTGCCTGCCGCGGTCTGCCTGCTGCCTGCCTGCCCCCTGCCCCCTGCCTGGCGGCCAGCCTGGCACAGCGTTCCCAGGCGCAGGGGATTGCACCCTGCAGGCAGCCGCTGCTGGCAGGCACAGCGACAGCTGGCAGCGGCAGGGATGGTGGGCGGCCAGCCTCGTGCGTTGCATGGGCAGCACTCACCGAGCACCGCCGCCGCCTGACGCCGCCGCTCCTGCCCCGCCCGCTGCGCGCCCACCGCAGTGCTTCCCCCGCCGCGCGGCCCGCTGCTGCGCCGCGCTGGAGCTCTGGCTGTCGGCACTGCTGGCGGTGGTGTGGGCCGCCGCCGCCGCCGTGGCCACCGCCTATGGCGTGGGCGCCGACGGCGCCTCGCCGCCGCTGCCGCGGCACAGCGCCCGCACCGCCGTGTGGGCCATGGGCTGGGTGGAGGTGGCGCTGTGGACGTGAGCCGGCTGCAAGGGCTGGGTGCCGGCCAGCGGATGGCCGCATGGGCTGGGTGCAGCAGGCTGCGCTGCCGAGCGGGCCGCCGGCGAAGGGCGACCCTGCTCGCACCTCGCCATTTCCAGGCAGCTGGGTTCCCGCAGCTGGTCTCAAGTTCGCCTGCCCGCCTGCCTGCCTCCCTGCCTGCCCGCCCGCCTGCCTGCAGGCTGAGCGCGGCCCTGGCCTGCGTGACCCGCTGGGACCTGCGCCGCCGCCGCCGCTCGTCGGAGCTGGAGCTGTCGATGGGTGAGGGCTGCTGGCGTGCCGGCAGGTGCCAGCATGACGGCAGCTGCAGCCACAGACGTTTTGGACTTGCTGGCATGCCACCTGCACGGCATGTGCCTGCTAGCTGTTGGCATGATGCATGCACGTGCCGCCGCCCCCGCCGCCGCTGCAGCCACCCCGGTGGGCCCCAGCCGCTACCAGCGCTACAACGACACGCCCTTCTCCGACCGTACCAGCAAGGTGGGGAGGGCGGCCCCAGGGGCAGGCCACAGACGGCAGCAGCCAAGCCGTTGAGCGGGAGATTCCTGCGGGCTGGTGAAGCACGCCCTGCTTGCAGCGCGCCATTGCGGCCAGCCGGTCTGGCAGTTTCCGTCCGCCCTTGCCCCCGGGTTGGCATTGCAGTGGCAGCAGCGGCTCCATGCATGACTCTGGCTCCGCGCGGGATGCCCGCCTGCTGCCTCCCTGTGCCTACAGTGGCACGAGGTGCGGGACGCCTATATCGCCCGAGGCGCCGAGGCTGCCAGGCACAAGCTGGACCCCTGAGGCGCAGCCGCCAGGCGCAGCCGCGTGCGTGCCAGCCCACGGCCGCCACGGGCGCCTCGCAGCGAGGCCGCCCGCCGGCGGCGAGCAAGCCGTGCATCCCAGTCGCAGCGCCGCCACGGCATGGTGGTGGTACCCTCACACCTGTGACTCTTCCTTGCGCTCCCTTCCTCGCAAATCTCTCTACATGTCTCATCTGTGCCCACATCGGCGCCTCGTCTCCCGCCCGCCACGCATATCGGCAGCCGCTGCAGTGTTCTTGGTGCCCCCGTTCAACTTGCCTTTGTGCCACAGACTTCCTTGTTCTCTCTCAATGATGCGGAGATGGTTTGCCTGCGCGCTCAGCCCAGGGTAGCATGCGGAAGACATTGAAGTTAGTGCTGGCGGCGGAGCGGCGTGTGTGCTGGGCGGCTCCAGCCTGGCGCTGATACGGCACCCTCATGCCCTTCCCACGCGACGGCTCCCTCGCATAACGCAATCGCAGCCGATTTGAAACCGAGCGCGCTCGCTGGGGCGTGGGGGTGGCGGGCACAGCCTCCTGGCAGGGGGGCGAAGAAGGTTTCGAGCGGCGCGGGGGTACAGAGCCGACGGCATCGACTCGGGAGGGAGCGTGCAGCGCAGATGGCGGCCCGCCCTGCGGGGGTGGCCGCCGCCACCCTCCGCGCACCACCGCTGCTCCTGCTGCTCCTGCTGCTGCTGCTGCTGGCCCAGGCCCGGCTGGCGGCAGCGGCAGCAGCAGGCTCGGCCAGCGGCGAAGCCGGGTCCGAAGGTACGCACGGGGAAAGCTGGGTCGGCAAGGCCCGCGGTGGCGCGGTCCCCTTGTGCACACGCCGCCGGTGATGCTCGTCACGGCAAGGCCGTGCCGCCACGCACATGCCGCGGCGCCCCAACCCACACAAACACACGCGAAAACACACACACGCACGCGCACACACACACACATGCTGATGTGCATGCACTCCCCGCAGTGGCCGTCATGCTTCGGCTGCGAGAGGTGGCATACGCGATAGGCATCCGCCAGGCGGCCGTGTGGCAGGGCTGGGCGCCCGGCGATCCCTCTCCCCACTGCTCCTGGATGCACGTGAGGTGCAACGAGCGCGGGCGCGTGACCAAGCTGTGAGCAAGGCCCGCAGCCGCACCGCGCAACGCTCCGCCCGCCGGCCTGGGGATGCCCGCCGCCGCCGCGCCGCCTCTGCGCCGCATGTGTGCGACCCCGCCCCGATCCCGCCGCTGCCAGCGCTGCTTCCGCTCCGCCCCGCGCCCAGCCGCAACGCGAGAGCCCCGCCGGCTGCTTCTCGGCGCGCAGGTCGATGTGGGTGTGGCCGACGCTTGCGCACGGTCGGCCTGTGACGGCCGCGGCCGCCGCCGATGACGCCGATGACGCCGACGCCGACGCCGCGGGCAGCAGCAGCACCGAGGCCGCAAAGGCGGCGGTGCTGTCGGAACTCACCCAGCTACGGGAGCTGGTTTCCCTGGAGGTGGGCGTAAGGTGGTGCCAGCTGGCTGAGGTACCGCTGTATCTCTTTGCTCAGGCCTGCGGGCGCGGCCTCGCCCCCGTCCCCGACTCCGACCACTGCCCGCATCGCTGGCACGCCGGGTGTCGGGTGTGGGCAGCGGCTGCGCACAACGGAGGGCTTCCTGCCCCTCCCAGCGTTGCCCTTCTGAAGCCCTCCCTGCGTGCCTGCCTGCTTTTCTTGCCTTGCCTGCCTGCCCGCCCTGCCTGCCTGCCTACAGCTGGGTCACATGCTGGAGCCGTTGCCCGCCGGCTGCATCCCGGCCAGCTGGTGCCAGCCAGGCGCCTTCCCTCGCCTCGCCAAGTGAGCGCCGCCGCAGCACACGGCCCCGCCCGATACCGCACAGTGCGGCCCGGTACCCCACCTCCCCACACTCGGCATTTTCCCGAAGTACAGACAGACTTAGATCCTGCGCATGTGCAGCACGCTGCGTCGCGCTTTTGGCCTGAGCGAACGCCGCGCCCTGCAACGCAGGCTGGCGCTGGCCGCGCGCTGCCTGCCGGGGCCGCTGCCCGCTATGCAGCCGGGCGCACTGCCCTCCCTAGCGGTCCTGTCGCTCGCCATCTTCTCCCCGCTCCCTCCCCACGGCCTGCCTCCCAGCTGGGGCGCCTCCCCCGCGGTGCTGCCCTCCCTGCGAGACATGCACCTCAGCCTGTCGCCCGCGCCAGTGGTGCGCCTGCCCCGCCAGTGGGCCGGCGGCTTCCCCAGCCTGGAGGTGCTCCGCATCGATGTCCTAGGCATCCCCTCCCGCAAGGCGCCGGGGGCGCCGGCGCCCTGGCCGGCCGCGCAGGCGCCGGCGCCGGCGCCTTCGTCGGCGCCCGCTTGCGCGCCACCCGCCGTCGCTCCCGGGCAGGTGCAGAGCGGGGGGTGCGAGGCGGGGGGCCTCCCTCCGGAGTGGGCCTCTGGCTTCCCAGCCCTGGCGGCGCTGAACCTCGTGGGCCTGCCGCTGGGCGGCTCCCTGCCTCAGGCCTGGGTGGACGGCGGCCTGCCCTCCGTGAGCAGCCTGTGAGCGAGCTGGGCCTTGTGTGCAGGGCTGCGCTATGCTTTGTGATGGGCTGTGTTGTGTGCGGGGCGGGGCTGGGCTATGCTGTGTGATGTGCTGGGCTGTGTCGTGCTGTGCTGTGCTGGGCTATGCCTTGTGATGGGCTGGGCTGGGCTGTGCCGTGTGCTGGGCGAGGCGGGGCGGGGCGGGGCTGGATTGTTGCGCCTGCACCTGTGTCTGCGCATGGCCTGACGGGCGCAGCACTGCGCTGCGCTGTGCCGTGCAGGATGCTGGGCGGCCTCAGCCTCACCGGCACCCTGCCCCCCCAGCTCTTTGCCCGCCACCCGCGCCTGCGCGAGCTCTGGGTGGGCGCCGCCGCCCGGCAGCCACCCCTGCACAGGCTCAGGCTGCCGCAGTGGCAGCCCAGCATCTCCCCGCTTGCCCGGCCACATCCCAGCCCACCACTGCCCATCATGTTCCGTTGCAACGTGTTGTCAGCCGTCAGCCAGGCCCTGATGCCGGGGGCCTGCCTGCCCCGCCCTCCCCGCCCCACAGCTCGACGACAACCGCCTGTCGGGCAGCCTGCCTGCAGAGTGGTCCAAAGCCCAGGTGAGGGCGGCAGGCAGGCCCCTGCTGCAGCTGGCAGCTGGCGGCTGGCGGCGCCACGCCCAGCGGCAGGCTCCCGTCGCTGCCGGCGCTGGCGCCACGCTGTGGGAGCGGCATGCCGCGCCGCCGCCTGCTCGATATGCCAGCCATGCCACGGTGCCGGCGTGCGTGTGCTGTGCGTGTGCTGGGCAGGAGTGCCAGCAGCACACTGCCGGTGCCTCCCAACGCGCCGCCTGACGGCATCCCACCCGCCCACCTGCCTGCCTGCCTGCCTGCCTGCCTGCCTGCCTGCACCTGCCTGCAGCTGCTGCAACTGGACCTCGCTCGTAACAGCCTGACCGGCCCCGCCTTCCCGCCCGCCTGGCTGGCGGCGGGCGCACTGCCCGCGCTGGCCGCCCTGCGCCTGTCTGGCAACCCGGGCCTGACGGGTACCCTGCCCGCCGCCCTCACCTGGCCGGCCCTGCGAGGCCTGTGAGTGCTGAGATGTGGGCTGGGCTTCGCTTTGTTGTTAACGCTCGGCTGGCGGTTGGCTTGTCTTGCATGCCCGGCAGCCGGCAGCCGCCTATGCCCGGGTTGTGCGCGGCGCGTGCGCATGGGACGCAGCAGCTGCGGCTGGCAGAGGAGGAAAGGATCGCCGCCGCCGGCCGCCAACCGCCGCCCACCGCCAACCGCCGCCGACCGCCGCCGCCGCCGCCGCCGGTGCAGGGAGGTGCAGGGAACCGGCGTGTCTGGCAGCGTACCCGACAGCTGGTGCCAGGCGCCCTTTGCCGAGATGCTGTTCCAACAGTGAGTGTGCTGGCCTTAGCAGCCTTGTGTGGCTGAGTGATTGTATGGTTGTGTGGGTGTGTGGTGGGGGTGGGGTCCCTGTGGCAGCAGGGCTGCTTTGGGCATTGCTTGCGGCGTGGGGGCGGGGCTGGCTGGGAGCGGCGCGGGGGCTTGGGGGCTGGGGCCAGCCGGCCCGCTGCCGTGCCCGCCACCTCTTCCCCCTCGGGGGCTTGCTGCCCGCCGCCACCACTGCTACGAGAGATGCGCACGCTCAGGCATAACTGGCTGCGTTGCGCTCACAAAGCGCATGCGCACCAATCCCCGCTGCCCGTCCCCCGCAGGTGGGTGCATTTCGGCGTGGATGGCGCAGGCCCTCCGCTGCCACCCTGCGCCCTGGAGCTGGTGCCTCAGCTGGATTGGGGAGGGGTGGCCAACGGCAGCGGTGGGGCGCTGGGTGGCGCGGCGGGAAGCCACGGGGAAGCTGGGCAGATGGTACTGGTCATCTGCCTGGCCACCCTGGTGCCGCTGGCGGTGGTGGCGGCCGCGGGCGCCGCGGGCAGGGCGCTGTGGCGGCGCCGCCTGCGCCGCACGCAGCAGCAGCGGCGGGAGCGCGACCGGGAGAGCCTGCTGCGGCGGGGTTGGGCGGGCGAGGGCGGCGGCGGCGGCGGCGCCGCGGCGGCGGCGGCGGCAGGAGGCGGCGGGGCGGGCCCCGGCGGCAGCACAGGCAGGTGGGCCCGCCTGGCAGCGCTGGTGAGGACCACCCTGGGTTCCCGCAGCGGCGGCATAGAGATGCTGCCGCCAGGCGCCCTCCCGTCTTCCCTGGTGCACCAGCTGGGAGCGCGGCGGCAGCGCAGCGGCGGCGGCGCAGCCCCAGTCGGCCACACCGTCAGCGCCGCCAGCAGCCGGGGGTCGGCAGAGGCGGCGGAGGCTGCGGTGCCCGGCAGCGGCGGCGCGGCGGCCGATGCGCGGCGGCTGCTGCTGCCCGGAGGGGCCGGGAGCGGCGGCGGGGCTGAAGTGGAGTCGGGCCAGCGCGCTCACAGCACGCACAGTGTGCACAGCACGCGCAGCATGCCGTCGGCACCCCCCAGCAAGCCAGCCAGCGAGGCGCTGGGCGGCTCCGGGCTGCGGTGATGATGATTGGATGATGTGAGGCCCGCCGAAGGTCGCCAGCCATCCATTTCAAACTGTCTGCCGTGCTTGCACCTGCATGCCGCTCCTCCGGTCGGGCCCGCCAGAGCCTGCGGGCGACCGGCTGCCTGCTAATCTGCCCGGTCACCGCTGTGCGCTGCCTTCTGCCAGGGGCGAGGAGCGGCTTGCTGAGGCATAGTCTACACCGAACGCCAAAGCAACAATGGCATCCTCATTTCAATGCAAAACAAAGAATGGATCATTTCTGAAGGGATGCGAAGGGGGAGGGTTGGGTTTGAGTCAGGCGCAGAGCAGCAGATAATGGGCATCATAGTTGGTGGGAACGGGGTGATGGGAATCGGGTGATGGGTGTATTGTATGTAGGTGGGGAGTTGGCAGCAAGGATTTCATGGGCAGCTCACAGCGCAGCGCCATCCATCCCGCCCGTGACGTGCCACAAAAGCAGGCTGGTGCCAGCAGGCCGGGTCGCAGTCGCTGCCAGGCGTCACGCCAGGGGCGGCAGGGTGCCGGGGCGGACCAGGCACGCCTTGACGTCGGCTGCCGTGGAGCCGGGGCACCGCACCGCCCGCCTGTGTCCCGAGTAGACGCCCCATGTGGGGCTCCACACCTGGCAGTCACCGGGCTCGTCCCCGCCGCCATCCGAGCCATGCACCAGGCAGGTGGCCCAGCAGTCCCGCCGCAGGGCGACGCCGTCCAGCAGCGCGGCGCACAGCGCGGCCGCTGTAGGGGGCCAGGCAGGCGGGGGGGCAGGGCGGGGCAGAGGCCCGTGTCGGCAGGAGCGGCTGCGAGGGGTGGGTTTGCGGCTGCGCCCGCGCCTGGTGACAGCTGTCCGTGGGAAGCCGGCGGCACGGACAGCATGCCTCCCGGCCCCCACTTCTCCCTCCGTTCATGCGTGGCGCCTCCCGGCCCCGCTCACCTTCCTCCCTGCTAAACCGCAGCCGCTCCCTGCCGCCATCAATCTCCACGTCGAACCCCGTCTGTGCCACCCCCTCAGTACACTGCGCAGGCAGGCCAGCAAAGTGCACTGAGGACTGCTGAGCCTGCGGCGATGCCGGGTGGCCACGGCCGGGGCGAGGGGCCAGGGCGAGGGGCCACCCCCGCAGGCTCTGCCAGCAGTGCCGCCGTGCGTGCCGCCAGCCAGCCTGGCCGCACCGCCGTGTGCGGCGCTGCCCCGGTGGGGCCTCACCTGCTGCACTGGGTGGCACGCGTTTTCGCAGTCCCACAGAGCCTCGTTGCGGCTGCCCTGGCAGGCCAGGTCTGAGGGGTGGCAGTGGAACTCAAACTGCAGGCAGTTGTTGGGAGCCCCGGCGGGCCTGCTTGTGGTAAGTGCCTGCTGCTGAAATCAGGCCAGGCCTCCTTCCGCGCGTCCCACCTCCCCGGCTTCAATGAAGCTTGGATTTTCCAAGCCGCGAATTGGAAAGCATGCCACCTGGCTGCTGCAGGCCAGCATGCCCACCTTGAGGTGCAAGTCCACTTCGCACTCCAGCACGGCGCCGCCGCCGGCGCCCTCGCTCCCCTCGCCCGCCGCGGCTGCTGCGGTGCACACCGCGGGCTGTAAGAACTGGCCCTGCAGCACCTCTCCAAAATGGAAGCGCTCCGGCTGCAACAGGTGGAGGAGCTGGGTGGTGGGTGGGGGGGTGGGGTGTGGAACGTGCGGAGAGCGGTGTAGCCTGCCGCGCCATGCAATGGCGGCACCATCAGGTCCCCGTGCTGTGCTGCTGATGCCCACCTGGTTCCACTCGCTGGGCGTCCAGGGGCAGCGGGCTGCGCCGCCCTCTGCTGCCAGCCTGCTGCAGGTTTGGGGCCAGGGAAGCGGGCTGAGCGCGAGCTGGTTGCATGCCCTCCCTCCGCCACCTGCCCACATCAACAACGTAATTAAAAAGTGTGGTAGGCACCATGTCAGCAACTGCCAGTGGATGGCGTGCCAAGCTCACCTGTCCTGAGTCAGCGGCGGGTTGAGGACGCGGTACAGGTGGCAGGTGGGCGCCCCCTTGGCGCAGTGCAGCTGCAGGCAGGCACGGTCGGGGATGCATGCGCGGCGTCATGATGCGCGTGCATGTGTTCCGCAGCAGCAAACAATGGCAGGAGCTGGGTGACTGGCTCCGACGCCATGCTGCAGGTGCAGGCGGCCCAGCGGCAAGCGCTGGCCATCCCGGTTGGCTGGTGCGCTCACCAGGGCTGGCCCCAGCTCTCGTGTTGCGCCATCCGGGCTGGTGGCGCTCAGCTCGACAGCCATCTGCAGCTGGCGCCCCAGCTGCTTCCGCCTGCACGTGCCGTTGACGTGCCTGACCTGCAGGCAGGCGAGGCAGAGCGGCGGGTGCAGGGGCGGGTGGGTGAGCTGGCAGAATAAGCAGCAGGCGGTCGCGGCATTGGAGCAGGTGACTGGCAGGGCGGGCGCAGCATGGCAGCGGGTGCCTGGCAGGTTCGCATCAGGCTGTGCTGGCTGCAGCCGGCTGGCTTGCCTTCAGCTCCACCGGGTAGTTGCTGCCTCGCCGCGACCGCAGCACCACATCCACCTGCCGCTTGGCGGCCAGGGTGGACAGGCGGCAGGCACGCCGCGCGGCGTTGGCGGGCGCCGACAACACATACAGGAGCGGCGCCGCGCCGTCGCTGCTTCCGGCGCCGGCGTCAGCGCTCGGGCTGGCGTGAGCGCGGCCGGGGAGGCGGAGGCTGGCTTCGGGCTGCGGCGGGTCTGCATGCTTGGCATCCTCGTCTATGGAAGGAGCAAACTCCAGGGCCGCTATTTGCTGCGCTCTAGGCTCGGTGGTTTCTGGCAGCAGCGCCAGGCCCGCTTCTGCTGCCAGTGCTGCAGTTTGGTCGACTGCGGGAGTGGCCACGAGTGCCGTGCCCGCCGCTGCCGCCTCCGTCGCCGTCGCAGCTGCGTGCGGCACGGCGGCAGCTGCGCAGAGGACCAGCAGCAGCGCCATCGCAAGGCCTGGTATCAGGCGCTTCATCCTGCTGTGCGCGCATAAGATGGAGAGTGGTTTGGGAGCGAAGAGACCCTTCCGGCCGGAGCGATGGGTCGGGAGGGGAGGGACACACAGGTTGCAGCCTCAGCGCTGAATTGTGGGTGCCGATGATGGCTTGCGGCGGTGGTTTGCTGGATGGATCACACTTGAACCGGCCCCTGACCGGCCACATCTGGTGCGCAGTGAGCTGGCGCCCGGGGGCTGCTGGGCTGATGTCAGGGTTTCAAGCGAGGAGGCCCGCGATTGAGCCGTGCATGGACCCCCTACGTGCCACAGGCGGCGTGTGCAGGCAGCCGGGGGTGATGCCGGCTCCGCAGCGGTGGCAGCGGTCCCGCTGGGTGCGAGCGCGGCGGCCGGCGAACGGCGCACCGCGGCGCTCATGAATTTGCGGAGTATACTAGGAGGACACAGTCATGTGTCGAGGTGAGTGATGTGAGCAGCCTCTGGCAGCGAGGGAAGACAGGCAGGGGCAAAAAAAAAGGGCGGGGGCGAGCGCGGCGGCAGCGTTTCTTTGAGCCGCAGCGCGGCGCTCAGACCCGGCGCTGCAACCCCGGAATGCCACACGCAAGATGAGCGGAGACCGGCAGGAGGATTTGGAGGCTGGCCTCCTCCCTGGCGCACCGGCTCCCTACTCCTGGCGCTGCGTGTGGGATGAGGTCGTCTGATACGCCAACTACATCCTGCCCATCGTGGCGGTGCAGCTGATCGTCCTGCTGCTGCTCCTGCGCCTGCTGTGAGGGCGCCGCCACGGCACCGCCGCCTGGCGTCGCCCCACCATGGCTGCGTGCGCGCCATGACGCGCGGCTGCCCAAACTGGGGCCCAGCGCCCCCAGCGGCAGCCGGCCGACCCACGCAGCGACGTGCCAGCACCCATCTCGTCCCTCTCCATCGCATGCACTGTACTGCTGCCGCCTTGCGTTGCCGCCGGCGTGTGCCAGCGCTCTCTGCCGCCTGCCATTCTGCCGCCGCTTCAATGCCATTTTTCAATGCCATTCTGCTCCACCTCCTCCTGCTGGATTGTACGTGTACATGCCGTCTGTAAAGTATCAGTAGAGCGTGGCAAGGCAGCAGAAACCCGCCTGCCAGCAGGACTGTCAGGACTGGTGGATGGAAACGAACGGTGGACCACCGCTTGCAGGAGCTGTAGCATCCATGGGCAGCCACCAACGATGGCGGCCAGCCGTGGCGGCCTGCAGCGCGGGGGCGAAGCCAGGGCGCATCACTCTGCATCCCAGGCGTCGGTGGGCCCCGTGTACTCTGACACATCATCCAGGCCCAGCTTGTGCACGGAGAAGTCGCCGGTCAGCTGCACCGCCGCCAGGCCCGTCTCTGCAGCACGCCGGGGTGGCGGGCGGGGCGGCGGGAGGGGGTGAATGGGGCTGGCGGCAGGCAGGGGACGCGTCAGCAGGGAGGTGGCAGGCAGGGAGGTGGGGAGCCGGGGGGCAGGCTCCGCGGCATCGCAGCCACAACGCTGGGACGGGAGGCCGAGCAGCAGGCGGGCAGACTGGGGCGGGGGTCGGCCGCGCACGGGGAGGCGAGGCGGGGCGCGACGCGCTGCGCGCCTGCCAGCATGGCCTTAGCGTCAGCGGCGCAGCTGGCCACGCACCCGTGTTGCGCTTGAGCAGGCGGCCCTGCTTGCCGCGCAGCCGGCCGGCCAGCACCAGCACCGGGGTGCCTTCTGTGGAGGGGACAACAGTCTCCAGCTGGCGCTGGTGCAGGTCCTGGGCAGGGAGAGGAGGCAGGCAGGCAGGCAGGCAGGCATGAGCGTGTGTGGCGGTGATCGCGGTGGTTGTGTGGGTGGGGGGTGGGGGGGGTGGGGCTGGCCGCAGGAGCCCCCCAGGGCAAGGGCGGGGCAGCGGGGCAGGCCTTGCGGCAGAGCGGATCCAGCAGCCGCCACCAGCTCACCAGCACACTTTCCTTGATGTCATCCACATACACATCGCACACTGCAGGGAAGGGCAGGGCAGGGGTGGGTGGGATGGAGGTGGGGATTGGCAGGAGCGGCCACGCGGGCGGCACACCTCCGCGGCGGCAGGGCCGCAGGGCGGCCGCAGACGGGAGCCGGCGAGACACACCATGCAGGCGTGTGCCTGGCCCCGGCAGCCGCCGCCCCCGCCACACCCTCACTGCCCTGGTTGGCCCAGCCCGGCCGCGCCCGCAGCTCGCCCAGCCCCACCCCACCCCACCACAGGCCACCCCGCCACCCGCCACCCGCCGCACAGCAAT